ATGCATAAGTTTAAAAGCAATATTAGTCGATACTAAGTTATGAGATTAGAAGTTATAAGAACAATTCATCCCAAAATCTATCATGTAAAGGATGTTGTCATTAGCAATATAATTCTGACTAAACTAGCTTGTCAAGCTATCAAAGAAGGTCTAGATGCCCAGAATCTATGATTGTTTCAAATCGCCATCGTGCGATCGTTTAAGTTATAATTGACCGCTTTGTCATTGAGTTGTTGACTTTTAGAGATTCTTTTCGTTGTTGTTTGGCTGACTCCTTTTCTAATGTCTTGTTTTGTCGTGATGCGCAAATAATTTTTCGGATGAGCAATGTGAGGCATTCATAGCATGCTGTGGGTGCGACTATCATGAAGACATTCAAATACTACATGCTTTGTTCCTCTCCACGCCATTAACACATTAACGAGGGATCCACTTTTATAAAGTAGAAGCCGGTAAAAGTAGTACTTGACCACCTCCATACCCAAACAGAAAACAGATTGTTCCCAAACTACCTTCATTTTTTTAAAAAATTACAAAGTACCACCCATTTCATCAAAATTCCAAAACTACCACCATCCCCCATAAACCACGCCTCGAAGGCGCGGTTCTCATTCAAACCGCGCGGGCAAGGGACGGTTTACCATTGGGTAGCTGTAAAATCGCACTTCCACGTGGCAGTCCATGCAACCGCGGGATGGGCAGGCGATCTGACGACTAATCGCCTGTAAGCGGAGCGATCCGCGTCGCCCACTAATAACCGTTGCCCTAGGGCGCGGTTTTTGGTGAGGTAAAAATACCAAACCACCACTCCAGCACGCGGTTCTCGTCCTATAAATACCCACCCCCTTCCTCTCATTTTCTTCACACCAAAACCAATCTCCTTTCTCTCTCTCTCTCTCTCTCTCTCTCTCTCTCTCTAAGTTTCTCACTCTACCCATCCCCCTCCCCACCCAAAAACCTTAGAATTAGTTGTTTTGTTGGTTGCGGCTAGGTTCGACCTGCCTTCAAAACAAAATTTCTTTGGTTTTCACTAAAAAACCGTCGAATCTCTGTCCGGAACTTGAAAAAATGGCTGATTTTGTCGAAGAAGAGGGTATTTACTATGATGACTATCCAGCGGTATGTACTCATTTTACCCAATTTTTGTTGTTGTTATAATGGTTTTATTTAATTTATATACTAATTGATTTCTGTTGTTGTTATGCTATCGTAGGCAGGTCCGTGTCGGCATCAACATACCAATCTTCATTTGGAATATGATTGCAGTACGGGATAGGTACACGATCGCGAGGCACCTCATCACCATCTGCGTCTGAATCTAGACCAGAATCATCAGCACCTTGAAGAGGATCGAAGCTGTCTGCACTGACATCGCCTTCCTCTTCTTCAACCTCAGGGTCACTAACTGGACTTGGATTGACCTCTTCTTCCATCTGATCACGATCATGAAAGGCACCTTCATCAGCTTAGTAATGGTAGTTGTGGTAACTAACGCCGCTTTGGTAGAAGTTGTACTCGGGTTGGTACTGGTAGCCTGTTTGTACTCCTGACTCCAACTCGGGTCTTGGTACTCTTGGTGGGGATGATCTTCGTATAATACAATCCCACAGTGGATACCAGATGTTTGTCCATCTCCAGAATGACCTACACCGCCTTCGACTGCCTCGGTGTAAACGAACATCTCCGATTGTTTAATCTTATTGGTGGTCAAAAATTGGACCATGGCATCAACGTCCTCTTGAGTGGTAAAGGGATTCCTCATTCCAAAATGATCCACCATGTCTATTTGGATATCGATACACCATACGATCAACTCTTCCAGTGCCATCCATGCAGGTAACCTCAGTGCACATTTGATGGAGCTCTTCAAGAATTGGTCTCGTAAGGACCTTCATTTTACCAAAATTGCCACCCACGTAACTTACACCCTTTCCGGTCTCTTCCATGTAACCATTCCACCGTAACCAAAGCGTGAACTTTAGGAATGCCATATGCAATAAAACTGTAATTAAGTTACTACCATAAACAAAGGACAATTAAAAGTAATACAAAACTAGCTTACGAATTAACGTTAATCGCAAAAACTAAATAATTTAAAGGTGCACAACTGAAATTTGAAGAAGAAGAAGAAGGAGAGGAGTGAAGATTTTGAGTTTTCTAGAGCTACCTTTTATAGGCAAATTTTACACGGGAAACCGCAGGGGGGGGGAGCGGTTTTAGTATGGCATGCAGCCCGCACCCCTGCAACCTCCTCCATGCCGACATGTCGGATGTCGGGTGACGAGACACAAACCATTGGGGGGCGATTTATGTGCATCGACATGGTAAACTGCTTCCCTGTGGAGCGTTTTACCTTGCCAACACATAACCGCTCCAAGAGGACGCGGTTTGTGCTAGGGCAGCCATGGAAACCGCTCCTTCAAAGAGCGTTTTTCCCATAAAAGACAAACCGCTTGTTTGGCAGGCGGTTCCATGGTAACCCGCCGCCTGGGTGAGCGGTTTCTCTTTTAACCGCCCATGCTTGGAGTGGTTTTTAATAAACAGTGGTAGATTTGGGATTTCTTCGGTATGGGTGGTAGTTTTGTAATTTTTTTAAACACTGGTAGTTTTGAATTTTTTCCACGGAAAGCTGTGGAGAAGGGAGATGATAGCATACAAAAAAATTCGTGGATAAAAAGGTCTGCTACGCCTCAAGCTATGTCTCGGGTGGGGGACAAAGGATCCAAAGAGAGCTAAAATACAAAAGGAAGCGAAAAAAATCTCTCCACCCTGATTATTTGTTTTGTTAGTGGTACTCATTAAATGGGGTAAATGCCACGTTTGGTCACTGAGTTTACTAAAACGTGTCATATAATCACTAAAAAAAATATAATATCAATGTTAGTCACTCAAATTAGTAAAACAGTTCATGTTTGGTCACTCTCCGTTGTCTTTCGTTAGTCTTTGTTAACACCGTCAGACATTTGCTGACATGGCTAACGTAAGTACTGAATCACCCAATTTTAACCTGCCACAACACCAAACTCGACCCACCATGTCATCTTGCTCAACCCAACCCAGCCCAATCCATCTAATTGACCAAACTCGACCTAATAAGTGACCCAATTAAATTCCTAAAATAAATTAATCTCAAATTAATCTCCTCCATCTTCATTTAAATTTATAGACATCTAGTGGACAAATTAATCCCCAGGAGCAACCGCCCCCCAATGCGCATTCCCTCCCTACGGCGAATCCTTCTTCCACAAACCCACCGGCCGCTGCAGCGACGATCGCACTATCGCCGACTTCCTCGCTCAATATCTCCACCTCCCTCTCCTCCTGGCTTACTGGGGAGATCCTATCCCCACCTCTAGGGGTGGGCACGTGGGTGATTAATCCGCGGTTTGACATAGATCCACCCGCAAGTAGTGGGTGATTGATGTAGGTGGATTACGGATTGATAAATCTCACACCCGCACTTATGTGGGTAGGTAGTGGGTGGATTGTGGGTCACCTGAATGATCAACATCCTATTTTCACATGAAAAAATATTGTTTCTTATAGTATCGAACATTCATCATATTTACGAACCACACTATAGTCTCACCAATATACTTCTAAGTTCTAAGGGTGGAGAAAAAAATAGTTTTGACTATTATTATTGGATATTGTTTTGTATAATATCCATTAGATATTGGATAATAGAATGTGAATTATTGTTAATATCCATTAAATATTGGGATGAAAACTATAAATTATTAATTGTATCAAAATAAAAATTGTGTAAGTTTCTCCACACAATTGGATGCTAGAGTAGTAAATTTTTTTTATACAAACACTACATGGATTCACTTGAAACAAAATGAGAAGTGTCTAAATTGATACAGTCTTCCTAATTTGCTATGAGCTTATTATAAATGTTAGTCAACTTTCTTAATTGTTTGTTGGAGAATTGCTTTTGCGGGTTAACCCACGATCCAACCGCACCCATCCGCCACCCACCCAACCCGACTCGCAGAAGAATGTCGGCGGATTGCGAGTCATAATTATTCCAACTCGCTAGTGAGCGGTTTGATCAATTTGAGACGAAAATCCACCCAACCCACCCTTTGCCCAACCCTACACCGCCAACGCCAACAACACCTACTCCCATGGCGCCGACCTCGCCGTCTTCTCTGCCACCCCCCTCGACTCTAACTAGCCTCTGGTTGCCGGAACTGCTCGCTCTCCGTCCAAATCAACTGGGTCAAAACCCTGGTCGACTCGCTCCACCCAAATCTATCCAAACGTAGATACATGAAAAAAATCCCTAATTCTCCTCGGCGAAATTGACAACGTTGATAGAGCCAATGACGAAAGCAGCAGTAGCAACAATATCATCCGGCTGAAGCAATCTTACTCGTTTGGATTTGTGCGGTCGGAGAAAATGTTGGTGACGGAGCCGGCGGCGGTTTTGCCTTGGAGATTGAGCCAGAGATCATCGGCATAGAGCAAGCAGCCATCTCCGCTCGGATCGTATCTGTTGAATTCCAAACCCAGATTGTTCCCGTCGTTCAAGTACTACTACAGATCAAGAATCAAATCGCTCTTCTTCATATGGAGATCTGGAGGCGAGGGAGGTTTCTTCCCTCTTTCTAAGTGATTCCCAACGCACCACTACCACAACGACGGTTCTTTGAGACTGAGGAAATCCATGACGAGTCTGATGTTCTTGAGACCGTTGTCGTTGTTCTCATCGAGCCGGCTAAAGTGTAGGGATCTGAAGGCCCTAATTTCTCTAGACATGAAGCAACAGTCAGAGCTTGACGACGGGTTGGGTCACGGTTGGGAAGGTTTGTGCTGGGGAAATGACGGGGTGGGTAAAAATGACATGGCAGGTCGGGTTTGTTGATGTGACGGATTAAAATTAGGTGATTCAGCACTTCTGTTAGTTACGTCAGCAAATGACTGACGGTGTTAACAGAGACTAACGGATGGTAGCAGAAAGTGACCAAATGTGAACCGTTTTACTAATTTTAGTGACTAACATTGATATTAAATTTTTCCTTTGACTAAAACGTGACATATTTTAGTAAAATCGGTGACCAAAAGTGACATTTACCCTATTAAATTTGATAAAGACCGAGAAAGAAAACACCAAACTAGGAAAGACAAGCGAAAACCCATTCCTTTGAAGATGTCCAAGTTCAACACTAATGGTAAGTTTATTTTTATCATGATAATATACATTATTAGGAGTAATAACTAATAAGACACTAATCACCTTTATATATAATAAAAAGCTAAGCATGCAATGTAAAAGGTTACTACTTTACCCTCCCTCCTACTTCTTGACTGTATGTGTTCGCTAATTTGCTTTCTTCCCCCTCCTCAAGTAGTAGTAGGACTTTCGACAATCACACAAAACTGAGTGATATTCTTTCATATTTTTGGTATTTTGGCTGCTTCTCTTCTGTCTTTTTTGTTGTGTCCTTGAATAGAATTCAATTCAGAATCGATGTTGCTTTTTGCTCCAGCTTTTCAGTATTGGTGGCACCATTATTAGTGTTGCTGTAATTGTTGGCAGCAGCAGCAGAAGGAGCAGGGTACTTGATGGCATTAAGTTGAAGCTTGCGGAGAGCAGCTTTTCCCAAATCAATCCCGCAGATGTGAGAGAGCCTGACAAGATAGAGCAGCACGTCAGAGAGCTCCTCCCCAAGATGAACTTTTTCTTCTTCCTCCCACCCGGGCAGCCCCTTTGGCACCTCTCCTTTCCATTGGAATATCTCCGATAGCTCCCCCACTTCCCCGACCTGCACACAGTTATAGTGAGAGAATCAAATCTAATCAAATGAAAAGCTTAATGACAACAAATAACATTAACAAAAAAAAAACCTAGATAAAATTATGGACCTGACCCAACCGCCTCAAGGATCGAAAGAAGCGAGCGAAAGTTGTAAATTAATCAAATAAATCGAGAAAAACGATAGAGAAAACAAAAGGTCAAAAGGAGATCAATTGAGGGGAGGAGGCAAAATTAAGTAAACCAAATCCATACATACCATAGCCAAGAGCAGGTTCCTTGGGCTGTGGAAACGATCCCAATTCCTTTCTTTGGCAAATTCTGCCATTTTGGTCTTCAGAAGATCGAGGGACACACTACTGATCTCGGCCACTGCCTCCCTCGTCATTTCGTGATCGCTTTGTCGAGGGGAGAATCAAAAACCCCGAGGAAGATCTCGCAGAGGCGAATGTGTTGTGAGAGAGAGAGAGAGAGAGAGAGAGATAGATAGATAGATAGATAGAGAAAGCTAGGAGTAGTAGGGGTTTCTAACTAAGGGAAGGGGAAGGGAAGTGCGAGATCCACGACAAGGGATGATTGCTCTGCATTGGAAAGGGAAAAAACACCATTAAATACTAAGTGAGGAGGTGACGGTTAAGGCAAACGCTGAGGAGGTGGGGGCGGAGGCGGTGAGGGATATGGACTTTCTTATTTTTTTTACCTTTTTTTTCTCCGTGTGCTTAAAAAAATTCCGTTCACTCTACCTTTACTCCTTGAGAAAATTACGGATGTGTTCCTTGCTTTTCTTTTTTAATCCTATCTCAATTAATTAATAATGAATTGGACCAACCCTGCTTACTAATTGGTCATGGAACACACCCTACCAAGTTAATACGCTTATTTTCGCATCGATAATGATGCTTCAACATATAATTAATCTTCAATTCACATTCCTAACCATTTTTTTAAATTATTAAAATAATAATTATTTTTTTTACTTCATCCATTGGAGATGAATTTCAATTTACTTTTTCATATTATTGAATTCATTTCTATTTTTAAATGATATGAATATTTTGTACATCATTTAAAAGTAATATTGATGTTTTTATTTTGTTGTTTGTGATATTATTGGTAATTATTTCTTAGTAATTATTTTGACCAAGTCATTCTAGCTTAACATTATCTATACAATTATTCATATATTAGAAGAAAAGTTTCCATTTCTTATTATCTCAAAAAACAGTACTCGTAAATAATTACCAACCCTATTTTTTTCTGGACTTTTAATTGACGCCATTAAAATTTAAATTTATCTTCCTAAAATGTATTCAATAGACTATTTTACCTCTAAACCAATAATAACCTAACCCAACTCAACCAAAATGGTCGTTCCCCTTCCCCTCCCCCTCTTTCTCCCTGGCCAAACTCCACTGCTGCCTTGCTCTTGACTAAAACCGCCCAGCTAAATAAGGAGATTGAAGAAAACTATAATATGTATAACCTCAACTTTTGGGTTTGGTTCAACCGATAATAAATTCATGTGTTGATTCACGGTTACGTAAAAAAAAAGCCGAACCAAGCCAAACGTGTTACAAGTGGTCAAGGTCTAATTACTCAATTTATGGACCAGGTATCTATCTATCTATCTATCTATCTATCTATCTATACTATATAGTAAGGCAATTTAAAAAAAAAATTCTTGCCATATAAGCACTTGGAGGATCCACAATTTGCCAAGTCGGACAACTTTTTTACAAACAAAAAATTAGTTATTAATGTATTTATGGAGCTATCTCTCTTCTTTAATATTTCCATTTCTGTTATCCAATTATTCTTTTTCATTTATCCATTTATTCTTTTTTGTCTTCAATAATAAGTTGCATGTTGATAAACTTAACCAAACCCACATAAATAATAATTTTTTTGTTAAATAAACAAAATATAAATAAGAAAACAGAGAGTGACATATATCACATTTATTTAAATAAAAAATATCGGATTAAACCTTATGAAATAAATTTTCTACTAATTTTTTCTAAAATACAATGATAAGTTATATATTGATGAAAAAATAAACAAACATACACATAAACAATTATGTTTTAATCGATTAAATCAAAATATATATGAAAAGAGAGAAAAATAAACATTTGACGTTCAATTACCTTTGAAAAATAAACTATATTACTTTATATTTTGTTGCAATGAAACACTCTCTTATTCGTACACTATATATCTATAAAATAAAACAGTATTATTTAGCAAAATGTCAGAGTATAATCTTGATCGAGGAATCGCATATGCAATAATTTGATAATGTGACCTAAGTTCACATTATTAATATTTGCTATATATCATGTTGATTGAGCAAGCTCTATTGAGGTTCTAAGTCGTATGCTAAGAAACTTTCTTTCAGACTTGGAGTTATAATCTTTCAAAATGACTTAAGTATGATTGTTGACGAACTTTGACTTCATACCCTAGGATGAGACACAAGATTCCTTGAAAAATAATAGATGTGAAGGTTAGAAAAATCTTTGTTCAGAATCTACGATAAACATCACGTTTCATCAACTACTAACCTAGGCATTTACCAAATAAAGGTTGGCAATTTTTAGTAAGATCGTCAATTGGGATAAACATACTTATCCAGCAATCAAGTATCTTTATCCAATAATCTCAACTCTCAAAATTGGTTGACAGTTCGTCTAGACTCGAGAAACACGAATTAATATATGTTGTATAAGATAATAAGTTAATGCAAATAATGAAATGAAATACACTGATATTGTTCAAATGATAAGACATTTTAAATGCACTTAAAATATGTGTGTATTGGAGACACTCTTTATCAATTATTAATATATAAGTGATAAAATCTTTGAAAATTACACATTCAACGACCATGTTAAGACCAAAATCCTCGATAGTGTGTGTGAATGCCTTAGATTGAGATTCTAAGCCAACATATAAACAATGACCACCGATTGAGGTTTAGTATAAACTTCAAGAATTAACAATTGATACATATTGTATAATATACTAAATTTAAGTGTCTGGATAAAAAAAAACAAACATCCAAAATGGAAATGAGTCGATATTCGAGAATTTAGTCATCATGAGGGCTACAGTGTGTGTCAAGTTTCAATATGGATGAATAAATCCAATAATGAAGTATCTTTACTAAGAATTTCTCACTAAAAAGTCATAATTTTTACACCATTGGTCGAGAGTTCGTCCAAACTCGAGGATCATGAATGTGTATTGGATTTCCAAAGGATCTAAAATCTCAATCCCTTTCGAGGGCTAATACCTCTAATCACAACCATAGGTGCTAAAGTAGAATGAAAAAGAAGCAAAAAAAGCAAAAAAGAACATAACCTCCGATACGATGAACATAATAAAACCATATCGAGCTATGATCCTGTCATCCCTACTTTTTTATTCTTCTTAAAGGGGACAGCGGGAGAGGATAAGAAATAAATAGTAGGATCTTAGTATTTGCCTCTTTATATATTACATATCGAACGATAGACAACCCCAATGGTTGTCTGGCGTTATGGGGGTAAAAGCGAGATCTCTAGATAACCGTCAATTATTGTTTCTAATTAAATTGATCTTCGGGTCTAAGATTTAGAGAATTAAGACCTAGATGTTGATCTTTAAGGGTTAGAGTATTGTATCATGTCCGAAAGATTAGTCAATTCATGGTCTGAATAGCTTTTTCATACTCAGGGTATGCGGTACCCCGGATTTCACCCTGGGTACCGTAGAACTCCCCATACACACACATATATATACATGTATATGTAATATCAAGGTATACTATACTTTTTATTTAGCTCAAAATACGATAGAAGATATGTATTACAAAGTATGTACATAAATTAGAGGTTATAGAATTAGGGACTATAGTTCACCTATTAGAGGTTAGGGTATAGTATCATGCCCCAAAAAACTCTGGTTAATTCGGGTCTAAATAGTAAAACTCAATGGTCTTATGGTAGTATGAACGCAAGAATATAGCGTACTGCTGGCGCACACTAGCTTGAACTATATATATGTGTGTGTGGTTCAAGTTGGCGTACGCTAAATATTAGTGTTTGGTTGACAAATTTTGACATAAGTTCTATATGGGACGTGACAACGGCATAATTTATGATTCGAAAACCGAAGTATCACAAGTGAGTGTGCTAAATATTGAAAATTTCAATATAGACATACTACAAACTCTGTTATAAAATATTTAGAAGATCCAAAATGATTTAAACATATAAATTATAAAATAAATCTCTCCGGTCAATGGACCGGGTAAAAAGCTAGTTTCTTAAGACTAGCTAATGAAAAGAAAGACACCAACCTCAGATAGATCACGTGGTAGGTATTGTTTAAAAGGAGTCCAAGAGAAAATGGGATGGTGTTAGTAGCGTGGCCCGTTGGAATTTGGTCATTGGAAGCCATGGATTGCCAAAGTGGGTCGTGAATCATTAGTAGGGCTTAGGAATGAGAGTGAAAACTATAAAAGGGGGATAAATAGAGAGTTTGCATTAGGTTACGAAGCATAAATCAAAAGAAGGAGAGCGAATGGAGACAATGGCAGCGGCCGAATGGTTACAGCAGAGTGGCTGCGATCTGACAATGTCCGATTGAGGACATGAAACTCTAGGTGGCAATCCCATGGATCGAGTAGAGCAAAATAAGTAACGACCACCACTTACAGAGGAACGCTGAAGTAGAGTTGAAGAATGAATCGACAGGGGTGGGGTTTGGAAATACAACGGAGCAGTATTGAGCTCCGGCTACAATAGAGAAATGGTTGTGAGCTGAGATTGTGGAAGAAACGATCGATATGATATGACATAGGGGCAGTGGACCGTGAACTGCCAACTGGACGGCTACGGCGAGGATAAATCAGGGGATGTAATCGGTCGATGGTAGAGGTAAGGATGAGTGAGTCGTGGGTGAAGTGATCATGAGCGGAACGCGTTGGCGTATTGCAAAGTACAGTGGGATATGGCGATAGTTGAGAGAGAGAGAGAGAGCAAGGAATTGAAACTAGTGGGTAAGGCTTTACATGGCTACTGCTCTACGTAATGATAATGGATTAGTAATTATGGATTGTACAATTCGATTGACTGTGTAGAGTGGAGAAGTGAGTACCATCAGTGGGCGGCTTTTTGTGTGCATATGTGTATTGGCAGTTGGTTCGCAAGGCCATGAAGGAATGGTTGTTTTGGATGGCTAAGCCGAAAAGTCAAGGAGTGTTGTGTTCTAATTTGATGGTAGTTCAAGCCGCTCGACTTGAATACTAAGGTGAGTGTTAAAAGGGTAAATTTTACGCTTTACGGTATTTAAGTTTTTGAGATTGACTGCTATATGTGCTATATCTACCTATGCATGTTTGTATGTGATGCATGTGGTCACGTGTGAGTTTTATTTTCAGTTATACATTTTATTACATGCTTTACTTACAAGTAAGAAGGCGGGGACAATAGGGTAATTTTGTGTAAGGCTAGGGCGATAAATTCAAAATTTTAGAGCGACGAATAATATCTCTTTTATATATAGAAATCCACACTCAACTTT